TAAAGAATATCTCTTTGGTTTTGAGACTTTAGTCTTTGCAACTTCAGGGATCTTATCTATTCACAATCAGCTTGTAACACTCCAAAGAGAAAGGAAAACTTGAAATCGCATCATATGACCCCTTTAAAGAGCTCATCTTTTTTTTACATTTGTTGTGCAAGTATTGAGGCTTTGAGTATATGTTCAACCACTTAAATCTATATCTTGTAGGATGCTTTACAACAATGTTGTTCATTGTGGTTTATAACATTTATAACATTTCATTATGTTCATTATATCATTATCATTATAATTTTACTGAGATAAAGTAATAAGTCCATATTTGTCATTGGTAAATAGACGTAAAAAAGGTAATGTGGTGGCTATTTACACATTATTTTTTTTCATCCAGGAAACAGAAAATAATACATTTACTCAACAACAGTACTTGTTTCAGTTGTTGTGACAAATATCTTTTTTTAGCAAAATAGGACAATCATCATTGCATGAACAAACAAATTTAGGTTGGCTGAACGCAGTTATGCAGTAACGTTGTTACTTAGAAGAACTATAAAAGAATTGTTGAGACAACAACAATGCCATAGAAGAACCTTTTTGTCTAAATGGTTCCATAAAGATTTTTAACCCAAAAGTTGGGTTAGTCCAAATTTGACCCAAAGTTGGGTTGAAACAACCCAGCATTTTTTAGAGTGTATAGTTCATATTTTTTCACAGATAATATTATGACATTTTTAATTCATACTTATATTAAACATTTTAGTTCTAACCCCTAAATTCTATCATAAAAAAGCTTGAATGATGTTCAGCTATGCGATATAATATCACGATTCACGATATTCTTAAAGTTCTTTCAAATGTAGGCTACTGTGTACTAAAGATAGACTGACGATAGCCTATTAGAATAGCAAATTAAATAAAAATTAAATAAATTCATATGGTCAGTCATGAGGGAACGCTGAGTGAAATTGAATGTGTTTTACAAAGTTTGGTTGTGGAACCCAGAATGGTTCTTCTATGGCATCGCTGTGAAGAACCTTTTAAGCACCTTTATTTTTAAGAGTGTAAGCTATTTTAGAGCTGAGGAAAAATTCCATGACTTCCTGATTACTTTCCATGATTTTTTTCAACCCTGGAAATTCCATTTCTAATATTCCCTCATATATAGGCTATTTGTCAAATCCCAGGATGTAGCAACCATATGCAAAAACCTTGATTTTGCATATCCGTATAGTGAAAATGGGAAAATGTAGCTATTTGCATAAAACCAAACTGATTCCATTAGCTAGGCCTACATGTCACCGCCCACGTTTTTATTCAGCAAATCAGTTCATTTGATCGAAAGCAGACAACTTGATTAATATTCATAAGCCCAACATGCTGTTGAATATTAGCGCAACAGATAAGAAATTAGCCTACTCATATTTCTAGGCTATAATTATAATAATACACTCTAAAAAATGCTGGGTTGTTTCAATTGCAGGTTTGCGTCATATTCTGAGTTGCATTATTTTTATTCATTTTGAGGAATACTGAATCTGTGTATTTTTTGTGTGTGAGTGAGATTAATTAATGCATATTCATATTTATTTTAGAACTACAGTAACATCTTCTGATTTCTGTCACCATTACTTTTAATGCGTTACCCCCAACACTGGGTGCAACTGCTGGCAAACTCGACGCAATATTCATCAGTCACTGAAATGGGCAAAGTCTTGTAGTGTTTGTTTGCACATGCTCAATGAGTTTCCCGTTGTCAGTCGGCAGTCACTCCTCTGGTGTCGGTGGAGCGCGGACACAGAGACGCCGGCGGGATGTCATCGCGGCTCTCCTTCTCTCAGTACCGCCTAGAGGCGGAGGTGGAGCGCTGCCGCGCGGAGAGTCAGTGGGACAAAATACCGTCTTTACTGGAGCAGCTCGCTGCCGCGCGCCTGCATGACGACGGTAAGTGCTCGTGTCACAATAGAATAGAATAGAGTTGAATAGAGGAGAGCCAGCAGTGATGAGTGTGAGAGAGTGTGTCTTGTTCCGCATGAACTTTGCACCTTTCTGTTAAACTCTGCCCATGTTTACTAATGTGCTGATATCAGTTACAGAAACTCGCATGCACTTATTGAGACTTCAGTTTTTGCGTTTGCGTCTGGCTGTGTATAAAGCCAGTTACCAGGTAGAAGCTACTTAAAGCAATAGTGTCATAATTTACTCACTCTCACTTTAGGGTATGTACTGAATTTGATGGTGTATTCCTCAACTATTATGTTGATGCAGATGTGTAGCACGCTATAAATACTTTCCCTGACACACTATTGCTGGCATTGGCTTTTGACCCGGTGTTGTTACCTTGGTGTTGTTGTTAAACAACTACCGTTTTACTCGGAGGAACAACTTTCTTGGTACTTATACACTGCCAAACTCACACTTTCTTGCTTTTTCTTGCCAAAGGTTTGAGTTTCTCAAGTCCTGGGGCATTATGAGATAGCAAAGTGTCCACCAGTTGATGTAGCCTACATCAGGGGTCACCAAACTTGGTCCTGGAGGGCCACTGTCCTGCAGAGTTTAGCTCTAACCATAATCAAACACACCTGAACCAGCTAATCAAGGTCTTAGGCTATACTTGAAACTTCCAGTAAGGTCGGTGTGTTGAGGAAAGTTGGAGCTAAACTCTGCAGGACACCGGCCCTCCAGGACTGAGTTTGGTGACCCCTGTTGTACATTATGCATTAATTTTCTGGACACCCTTCTTTATGCATACTGTCAGGAAGATTTTTGATACTGAAAAAAAGTAATATTTTTATTCTATAAGGATGCATTAAGTTGATCAAAGACCTTTATAATGTTTCAAAAGATCTATCTTTCAAATAAATGCTGTAATTGCTTTCTATTGATCAAACAAATATCAGAAATAAATATTAAGCAGCACAATGTTTTTTTTTTAACATTGATAATAACGAAAAATCATTCTTCCAAATCAGCGTGTTATAATCATTTCTGAAGGATCATGTGACCCTAAAGACAAAATTCAGCTTTGCATCACAGGAATAAGTTGTAAAATAAATTTTACAAAAGTAGAAAGTGAGAAAGTAGAAAGCAATTATTTTAAATTGTAACACGATTTCAAGATATGACTGTTTTACTGAATGTTTGATCAAATAAACGCAAACCTTGGTATGCATAAAATACTTTATTTTGACCCAAAATATTTATAAAACCCAAATATTTTGAACAGTAGTGTATGCTTTCATTTTAAGGAAAACAGGAGTTTGGACTGTCTGCTAAATTTGTGTTCCACAGAAGAAAAAAATCTCGATTTGGCGTGGCTACAGTGGCATGACAAATGTAAATAAATGTTACTTTTTTGGATGAACTATCTCTTTAAGATTTAGAAATAAAACCCAGTCTTCTCACTTTCACAAAGGTGGTAAAAGATAAACATGCTGCCTAAACATGTCTCATGTTCATTGTTAAATCAACAGAAGTTAACACATGGCACTCCCAGGAGGTGTGTCCACCACTGTCTAAATCCGATCTCTGACCCAGCACGTCTTGTTTCGCCATTGCAAACACCCAGACACTAATTTCCCTGTGGGGAAACAAACTCAGTCAGTAAAAGGTGGCCACAGAACATAGTATTCAGTGTATTTTACTAATGCTGCCAAGGGTTTTTGAGTGATGTACTGTAGTTACTTCATATTCAGTAAGGAAATGTCATGCATAAACCTGACATACAGTATAACTGCAAGTCTAGATTCAGTAGGGAGTGAAAAGTTGAACCAAACAGGAAACACCTCATCCACAGTGTTTATACAAAATATGCATGAAGGCAAAGCGAATATTTTCGAAGCACCTTCTTGCTGTATACTGTTAAGTTAAAACAAACACACTTAACTCTCTAAACCTGATCAGAATGCTGTTGTAGATTAATATCCAAACTAGACATTCTGTCATGATAAAGTCCACCCTTGGATGAAATATGCTGGTGTTGCTGGTGAGCATTTTATCCTTAAAGTAACCCAAAGAAGGTACCATAATCAGCCAACATCAAGCATGTTCTAGTCTTTCTTCTTCAACCTTTGCCCAACTTCCGTCTCTGTTTGTCTGTAGATGGTTACAGGACGCTGCTGCTGGCAGAAGCTCTGTTGGAGGAATGTCTATCAGAATGCTGTTGTAGATTAATATCCAAACTAGACATTCTGTCATGATAAAGTCCACCCTTGGATGAAATATGCTGGTGTTGCTGGTGAGCATTTTATCCTTGAAGTAACCCAAAGAAGGTACCATAATCAGCCAACATCAAGCATGTTCTAGTCTTTGTTTGTCTGTAGATGATTACAGGACGCTGCTGCTGGCAGAAGCTCTGTTGGAGGAATGTCTGCTGGAGAACATGACCCTGTTGAAGAATTCTACATTTCTGACTGAACAATCACAGCCCAAACTAGCCCGAGCCAAAGCTCACCTCGACTGCATCCTTAGCAGAGGACGCCTGGAGGTCTGGCACAGCACCTACCTGAGTTTCTATGTTTCTCAAGTCTCTCTGTCAGTTAAGCATCTCTGAGAAAGAGGCATGGATTGCAGAAACACTTTTGGTGATTTTAGTTTAGTTTTGTGTACTTAAATTCCATCAGTTTTATTAACTTAGTTAGATAACAAAATACCAAACCAATAAGTATCTGCAAACAATGGTGCAACAGTTTTTTCTCTCAAAACATCACTTTTCTGAGCACCTTTTTTTCTTTGTGCTTAAAAAAGTACTTTATTTATTTATTTGTACTGTATTGATTTGCACATTTATTAATACTGTATTCTTTGATATTTTATCATTTAAAGAAAAAAAAAGAAAATGTATGTTTTTTTGTCCTTGTTGTTAGAAGAAAATTTAGAAGGCTGCAAAAACCCTGTAGTTGCATGCATGTCGTCTATACATTTATTCTCTATTTAAATTGTCAGTAGGGTTGCACAATTAATCAAAATAAAACCGAAGTCGTGAAATGGCTTAATGCAATTCAAAATGTCCAAAGACTGGGACTGAATTAAATAAATATATGCGTTGTGTGTTTCAGAGTGAAGTATGGCACTGTGTTCATTTATACGTGAGCAGCTCACGATCTCCTGTTTTCAGTGTCTCAGAGCAGTTCGGTTTACAGTAAATGCTGCTCCACACAAACTCATCTCTCTCGCTTTAATGCGCATTTGTGAAGTGCCAACCATCTTCCCATATTTGTAATGAGAAATACTGATTAACAAAAGAGAAGCTTTAAGGAATCCGTGTTTTCTGTCAAAACAAAAATTTGGTAGTTCAACATTTAAAAATCGTAAATCCGTAACTTTTTTATTTTACAGGGAAATATTACTAAAGTAATATTTCTTATTTCGTTTGTATTTAGTAATGTATATATTTTTATACAATAATAAAAATAATAACAACATTTTGAAGCCATATTGATATATAATCACAAACATTTGGCCAAATTGAGCAGCCCTATAAACATTTTTAAATCGCAATCACAATTTTGATCATAAAAATCACAATTAGATTTTTTCCTCAAATCGTTCAGATCTAATTATCAGTGATTTTCGGTCTCTTCCCCTGTAGCCACACTACCTGAATGAAGCTCTGCTCCTGCTGGCTAAAGTGCACTATGTTCAGGGACGCTACAGGGACGCCCAGGGCATGTGTGCCAGAGCAGGTGTGGATGATTTCACCCACCACGAGAAGCCCGTCTACCAACTACGCATGCTGGCAGAGGCCTTTGTCATCAAAGGTATGAACAGTTGAAAAATCACTAATAGCTCATTAATCCTCCCTCATTATTGTATAATTAAGTCATGATGACAAGGAAATTAACATACTGTATACAGTTATGCGTGAGGTCTAAATATTCAGCTAATTATAGCATGCGTTGTAGCTTCCTGCAACCGTTCAGCTGTAACGAATCATCCACTGAAGTCGAGCGTAGTGAAGAACCCAAGTGCAGTTTATTTACAGTGATCCAAACATAATCCAAACAGACGAAGACTAGAAACAATAATCCGTGACTTGACGACATTAACAGACTTGACTTGACGAGGTATGAACAGACTTGACATGAACAGACTTGACTTGGCATGAACAGACTAGACTCACCAACAGCGGGTTACAACTTCAATACACGACAAGACACAATGGGAACATGATGGCTACTTATAGCAAACAAGGAGGGTCACATGACATGAACAAACCAAGACACATGACTAAGACAACCAATCAGAACATGACACAATGAACAGAGGAACCAATGGCATGAATACATGAGGGCAAGGGAAGCATGACACAAACGGGACCATGATTAAATTCCAAAATAAAAGACATGAAAACATGAACAAGAAACACCCAAAACACCACATTACATCAGCATTGCCACAACCTCTTTAAAAATGTTGGCAATATTAATTGCGTGGAAAAAAATGTAAAAGTTCACTGAGGTTTAATGAGGTGTAGTGGCTCTTAATTTGAATTTTTTTTTTTTTATTATTTAGTCCATTAGATGCTAAAGTTAAAAGACGAAGTTCCTAATATGGTAGGAACCATATTTTATTTGCCAGAGCAATTTTAATGTGTATTTATAGCGTTATTAAGTAATTTCCATTGCTCCATTCCACTGAATATTTGCTTCAGGCATGCTTTTATTGGATTCATACCCAGGCTAAAGTGTACACTGAAAGAAAGGTTGGCATTACAATCATAAAGAAATGTGTGGATAGGAGTGTGTCTTTTCTTTTATCATATCCTTGGACAGAATGTAACCACAGGGGAAAAAAAGGCAGTTTTACGTCATTGTCTACAGGGAAGCTTCTAATATATCTTTAGTTATCATTCAAAAACGTTTTTTTTCCCAGCATTTTACTCATCCTGTATTTGTCTAATGTCCCTTATTTTCAAATTTTCCATGATTTTTAATACATAACATTCTCTCGCAAGTACAAAAAAGTATGTGCTAGGTATATACAGTACTGTATGTATATGGAATTACCACCTGACAACATGAGTACTATTGTACTCCCACAATAAGGAACACATAGGCCTATTGAAGTACTCATACATATGACATCATGCAATTTTGTTCCGTTTTTTAAAAAAATCCCTAAACGAACAGGGTGATGCCAATTATGTAATAATTATGTAGTAATTGTTGGAAGTTTCAAGTTACTTCCACAGTCTTTCTGACTGCTTTTTATATGTACCCTACCCTGGCATCTGAACCCCCACTACAGGTTCACACACGGACACATACTATCAGACAGCAGGCTGGGAAAGTATAATATTAGCTTCTCTAGCGTAGAAAGCAGAAGCCACCCAGAATCAGTCCCTTGAGAGACTCACCAGGCACAGCTTGTGACAGCCGTTCCACGCTGACAGACCCATAGTAAATATTGCAATAACTCACTGCTGTGTTTACTAATAAGTTAACTACTGTGTGTTAATCATCTATCTATCTATCTTATCTATCTATCTATCTATCTATCTATCTATCTATCTATCTATCATCTATCTATTATGTTGTAGTTCCTTATACAGTTCTATTTTCTCTGCTTGTCAAAGCCAGTTTCACTTGCATTAGGCACTTGTTGAGTGTTAATTATGGTTGCTGTCTACAACTCTTCTCTTCAGATTTGTATAGATGGGGAACTCTTTTTAACAGTAGTGATGTGGTAAAGTTACACTAATTGCACAGTTCCTCATTTTTAGTTCTCCTCTGTGTACTTCCTCATATTTGGATGGAACTAGAGACTTCTGGGAGAATTCAATGTAGGCAGAAGTCTTGGTAAATCTAAGATATCAAAGCATTTTCTAGGAGGTTCAAATTTTTGTTTGTCCATGGCTATTTTCTGCATCTCGCCCTGCCGAAGCTCTGGATGAGACCCAGACGGAATGTTCCAGACAGACTGAATAATTGATTAAAGTCCCGCTAATATCATTTAAAAAGACCTGTTTGTTTGATAAACAGATATTTGCTCTCATGGTGTTTCTCAATTATATGTATTAATTGGCATACACTCTTAAAAATAAAGGTGCTTCAAAAGGTTCTTCAAGCGATGCCATAGAAGAACCATTTTTGGTTCCACAAAGAACCATTCAGTCAAAGGTTCTTTAAAGAACCATCTCTTTCTTGCGTTTTTGTAATCTGAAGAACCTTATTTCGCCACAAAGAACCTTTTGGGAAACAGAAAGGTTCTTCAGATGTTAAAGGTTCTTTATGGAACCATTTAGACAAAAAGGTTCTTCTATGGCATCGTGAAGCACCTTTATTTTTAAGAGTGTATACCGATTAAGAATAGACTGTACCAAACATAGAGATCCGTTCTTGTTCCACATGTCTAATTAAGTCTAATCAGCAGTACTGTAATTGGAGATGTAGTGCTTTGCTGTATTCATTTTGCATGTCTTGGCTCCATGCTTAAACTATATTTCATTCTCTCTTGTACAGTTATTGTCCCAAATTATATATATATATATATATATATAAAGTGACTCTTAACCTAATTGTTCTTCATGAATGTTCAGGTTTGTCTTTGGACCATCAGTCTATGTCAGGTGCTTCCCGTGTTAGACTGTCCGAGAGAGAGGAAGAATGTCTGTCCTGTTACCTCATGGCCTGTGATGCTGGCCTGCTGTACCTGCAAGAGCTTGACAAGGTCTGTGTGTGTTTTACATCTTGTCAGGGGCCGGTTTACTCAGAACACTCTGTGTAGACATGTCTCTAACTGTTTTCTTGGTGTGTCTCGCTGCGTTTTCAGTATCTCGTGCATGATTGATTCAAATTTAATGAGACATTTAGCTTTTATAAGCACTGACTGTAAATGCAAGAATGTGTTCTGTGTATATTATATGTTAATATATAGAATGCAAAATTGGTAAATTTTTGTATTCATCTGTGTTAATTTCCAGCCATCATTACATTGCATTTGCGTCTTGTTGACTAGACTGTTTGCACTCCAAGTTCTAAAACTGCTAAAAGCGGTTCATCAGTCCCAAATTTTGACTTGGACCCAGGTTTCTTCCTGCAGGCAGCTCTTCAAAGCGCATACCTGTCGCTGCTGAGAAAAGGGTGAGCGCGCACATTACTACTCTCAGACTCTGTACCCACAATTCTCTGCCCTTCATATTTAGCACTCATGCAGCCATGCACACACAGTATTCACTGCACAGCTTGACTTAATCCATTTATTTATATATGGGTCAGATGCACTATTCCCTAAACCTATACTTAAGATTTTACCCCCGGCGCTACAACACTGAGGGGTCAGACTCTCTTTCCATTCCCATTCTCTGTATATTCAAACTCAATTTTCATGTAGAAAACAATATCTAAAGGATGATCAGAATATAAAAGCACAACAAAATAAATGTTGATGACTTGACAAATTTAAAATAACTTTTAAAAGCTTGAAATTTGAATGTTTTACTAAGATAAGTCATGAAAAGTCAGACAGTACAATAAAAACAAATTTAGACCTCATTAGACCTCCTATGAAACTACATAAAACCATTAGACCTTTACAAAACCACCTGCTGCTTGTTGCTTGGCATTGTTAACATACAGTTGCTGGCTTGTTCTTAGTTTTTGTTAACATGCTTAATATGTAATATGTAGCAGAGTATAACATTTTTAGCATGTTTAACTGTTTTTTCACACTATACCATGTTTATAGCATGTTTTAACATGTTGTTAACACATTTTAGCACATTGCCAGTATTGTTAAACAGCATGTTTTAGCATGTTGATTGCAAAATGGATCACATTTCAAGCATTTTTGACATGTTGCTAACATGTTTTAGCATGTTAATATGTCTCTAGTATATCCTATCACATTGATAGCATGATTTAGTATGTTGATACGATGTTTTAACATGTTGTTAGCATTTTAGCACATGCCATAATGATTTAGCAAGTTGCTAGCATGATTTAGCACATTCCTTGCATTTTTAGCGTGTTTCTAGCATGTTTCTAGTATGTTTCTAACATTTTTAAACATTTTGATAGTTTACCATGCTAGCATGTTTAAGAACAGCTAGCATGTTTTAACAAAGTAGCCTATGTTAGCATGTTTCAGCATATTGCTAGCTTGTTTTAGCTTGTTACCAACATGTTTTAGCACATTGCTAGCATAATTTAACACATTGACAGATAGGTGACCGAACAAATACAGGAGAACTATAAGCCTGATCAGTCATAAAAATATATAACACACCATCAGAACATCCTGAAAAGCTGTGAAAAGTGAGTTTGGCAGTCTCTAGGATGAGTGAACGTTTAGAACGTTTGTCTCAGACAAAGAAAAAGAAGAAGAAAATCTTAAATAGTAGATCAGTATGCTTTGTCAAGCTAAAATAATAACTGTTAATTTGAGCAGTTTAATGTAAATCTCACTGCTCTCATTAAATTGTATTGTGTACATCAGCCATTGGACAATATTGATCGATAACTAGAATCAGAGAGCAATGAACACGGAGACGAGCAGAGGACAGCGCTGGGGTTTGTTTGCCTGCTTTAATATTCAGGACACGGCGGAATGCTGTGTTGTGAATAAAACATACTGTAACTGTACCTGTGAGTCTGCAGATGCCAAGCAGAGAAAGGAAAAATACAAGAGAGATGAAAAAAGATGGAGAGAACTTTTGACAATGCGTCTGAAGAACAGAAATGAGAACAGATGAAAGGAATATTCTAGTTTACCATTCCTGGTACAGTTCAGTAACACACAGGATGGGACTCCAGATGGTGGAGGGAAGTAAGATAAAGTAATGAGAGGGGAAATCAGGGATGAGAGAAACAGAGCCTGTAAAGAAAGACAAAATTGTTCAGAATACCAATAAAACATGTTAAAAATGTGACAACTGTGAGAATGGACGTGAGTACAGAGAGCAGTTACAGACTGACATACAGTATGTAACTAGAGATTGACACACACACACACACACACACACACACACACACCTTGGTGACGTGTTTTTTCCTTTTCCTGTTGCCACCCTGCAGAGCTTTCTGTCCACAGGACGTGGTTGAAGAGGCGGTGCTGGTGCTCCTCATCACAGAATCAATGGTGAGACAGTCTTCCTCACATTCATCCTTTCTTCCTTAACATGCTGTGTTGTGACATCTCTTCTCTTTAACTGCATCTTGAAAACTATAGCATAACGATATTACGAAGGAATAGGAAAATTTGCCAAACCTGTTTGTTGTTATTTGTTATGTGGAACACAAAAGGAGGATTCCTCTCTTCCATGATTAGAGTGACCTCTAAATTGTCCTTTGGAGGTGGGACTATTTTTCTAGGTGGATGAATTTGGATGCCCCAGTATTATAAATATACTGCATTTGGCATTGAAACTAATCTAAACTTGTCTTCTAATCTTCTTATGACATACACTACTGTTCAAAAGTTCCATTTTTTTAAAGAAATTAATACTTTTATTCAGCAACGATACATTAAATTGACCAAAAGTGACAGTAAAGACATTTATAACGCTACTTTTGAACTTTACATTCATCAAAGAAACCTAAATATATACAGTATATATCAGGGTTTCCACAAAAATATTAAGCAGCACAAATGTTTTCAACATTGATTATAGGAAATGTTTCTTGAGCAGAAAATCAGCATGTTACAATGATTTCTGAAAAATCATGTGACTCTGAAGACTGGAGTAATGATGCTGAAAATTCAGTAAAAAAATCATTTTAAATCACTTTTTTGATGAAATAAATCCAGCCCTGGTGAGAGTAAGATACTTCTATCAAAACATTAATTAACCTTATTAACCCCAAACATTATGAACAATAGTTTATGTTGTTTATCAAGACAGAAAGCAAATTTTGAGACATGTATGATTCATTTATGGCCATTAGACATTCATTCGTGTGATTTTTGCTAGTGGTTACTGACCATGGTAAAACTTGGCATTTATTTGACATTTTCATACAGACCCACACATTTTTACTAGAACATTTTAAAGTGCCCCTATTATGGGTAATGAAAGGTTCATATTTTGGTTTTGGGAGTCCCCAACAACAGGTTGACATGCATGCAAGGTCAAAAAACACTGTCTTATTGTCTTACACATTGTCTTATAATATGCATTCATTTTTATCTTATTTGCTCAAGGACTCCCAAACGATTCGCTCAACGATTCATTTTTCCAAACCCCTCCTTTGCGTGATGCTAATCTGCGGTGATTGGTCCGATTGGTCTCATTTCCATTTCATCTTGCCTGTAATGCCTGATAAAGCAGTGTTTGTGAGCGCAGTGCTGCTTTGTGTACAGCGTTACCGGGGACCGCTATTTTTACTGCTCCAAAAGTGGCACCTAGTGGCAAAGAATTAATTTGCATTTTCATTCAGACCAACACGAAAAGACCAACAAGTGCAGGATGTTTTCATTCACTTAGAGCTGTGTTACACACTGCATGAAAGGTAATTTTCAAAAATCCATAATAGGGGCACTTTAATATAGTATGTTTGATATAGTATGTATGTTTAAAATCATTTTAATTTGTTTGTCAGATACTTGAACCTAAAGCAAGTTCAGACAACACAAATTAAATGACAGAAATGATTGTTTAATGAGTTAAAACAACAAAACAACATCATACAGGTTTGGAACAAATAAATAACACATTTCCAAGATTTTAAATTTTAAGTGAACTATCCCTTTAAACACAGGGCTTCTGAAGGCCCCCCAAAACTGCATTTTGTGCGTGTCCGTATTTGACACCCAGTTCAGTTCTTGAACACTTTACTAATGAGCTAAAGAGCTGAATTAAACATGCAAGGTAAGAGAGTCATCTAAAATGTGCAGTGCTGGAGATTCTCCTGGACCAGGATCGGGAAACACAGCTTTAACATATTCCTAACCCTCTCTCTGTTGTCCCTTGTAGGCCAGTGGCGAGGCGGTGATCAGCCGCACACCGGAGCATCAGGAGGCGAGGGAGAGCAGCATGCAGGACGCCTCCTCCGTCTATGACCTGCTGAGCATCGCCATGGCCAGGAGGGGGCAGTATGCCATGCTGTCAGAGGTGAGATGAGTCAGCACAGATCTTATCGACCCCTTTTGCAAACAGGAGCAAGTGACCTGTATTTTTTTGTAGTTGATTCTTTCTCTTTCTTTGTCACAAGTCGCCTCTTTCAGTCTGTCAATCTCTCTCTTCTCTTCTCCCAGTCGTATGGCTGCTTATTTCCCCTTCCTGCTTCGTCCTGTCCTTCAGGTTGTTTCAGTAGTTGGGCCGTTGTGTGATGGTGAGACTTTCTCAGGTGAATCTGGATCTAAGTTCAATGTTTTCATTCAGTTAACATCAACTGAATCCATGTCATTTCACTGGTAACCCACTGCCTTTACTCGGTATTACCAACACATGCCTGCTTGCATGTCGAATGTAAATCCCTTTCTCATCAAATTTAGGCTCACTTTCTCATGCATGTGCCATTATGTGATGTGTACAGGATACACACAATCCCCTATCCATGCTGAAAACAACAAGATCCTTCCTAGAAATAACTAGTTATGCTGAGCAATGTCAACTGCATTGTCATTTTCTTGGAAGGCTGATTCCCTGAGTTTCTTTCTGGCTGTGATGTGGTGTGTGATTGTTTGTCATCAGTGTTTGGAGCGGGCCATGAAGTTCTCCTATAATGAGTTTCATCTTTGGTACCAGCTTGGCTTGTCTTTGATGGCAAGTGGGAAGGTGAGATTCATGTCCTATTGTCATCATCATTGTTCTATACATTTATTAGTCATTCGTCGCTATAATCGGCTATATTTTGGATACAGTTAAATAAATATGTTCTGGTAACTGAAAGAAAGAAGATAGCGAAGGTTTTATCTAAATTAAATATATATTTGAAATTGAAAAGGCCTATGATAGTTCACCCAAAAATTAACAATCTGTCATTATTACTCACCCTCAAGTTGTTTCAGACCTGTATGAGTTTCTTCTGTTGAATAAAGAAGAAGGTATTTTGAAGAATGTTGAAGAGTGGCTGCCATTAACTGTTTGGTTACCAACATTCTTCAAAATACTTTCTTTTGTGCTCAACAGAAGAAAGCAATTCATACAGGTTTGAAACAACTTGAGGGTGAGTAAATTATGACAAAATGCTCATTTTTGGGTGAGCTATAACTAGACTTGTTAAAAAAGGTTTAAGAGGGATAAAGGGATAACCAAAAATGAACCCCACCACCCAAAAATCAAAATTCTCTCATCATTTGCTCACCCTCATGCCGTCATAGATCTGTATGATTTTCTTTCTTAAGAGTTTTAGAAAAGTAATGTATCTGATGCAAGTGTATAGGTTCCCAAATACAACTCCAGTGTATGAATAAAAATTTTCTGAAGCAAAATCAACTTTTTATATATGTTTAACTTTTTAATATAAACCATTGCTGCACTGAAATATAGTATATAGAGTATACTATATACAGTATATATATTATTATTATTTTATTATTTTTTTTTTTTTTACCAAAACACATTAAAGTTTTCAATTAGCCTGAAAACGAAAAATACAGTTGCAGTAATTACATTGGTTATTTGGGTCTTTATGCTGTTTAGGGTGTCGTATTCTCAGGTGATATAACACACCAGTCTTAGGCCCCATTTACACTAGTGCGTTTTTGTTTTAAAACGGCGTTTTAAAACGAAAACGATCCTTGTCTACACTGGCGTTTTCACTGTTTCACATGTCACATGACCATTCATGCAGGTACAACCATAGTTATATGTATAGGTAGGTTCCCTATTTTTTAGATGGCGGATGCATCTATGTGCTTGGAGCGGTTGAATGGGTACTCTACCTATACATATCTATGGGTACAACAATAAGGATGATGTTATTGTTACACGGTCGTCAAGGATAAGCAGAGCGAATGTGGGCAGCCACGCCATCGTTTTCAAAAGTCTCCGTTTTGGTCCGTTTACACTGAAACGCAACCCCGGAATTTTCAAAATAAGGCTATGTTTGCACCACAACGGTGTAGTCAAAAATGGAAAAGTTTTTCCCTTGCGTTTTTAAAAAGTTTCACATATACACATTTTCAAAACGACTTGCGTTTACACATATCCGCGAAAATGGCCAAAAACGCTGTATTACGTATGCCAGGCCAGTAGTTAGCACTGTCACCTTGTTAGTAAACAGTACCTATAGGGAAGTGACGATTACATGTTGTATATGATGTTGGTTGTAATATTGGTGAAGTAAATCCACACTTTGCTGAAGAAGTGTTAGCAAGCACCTGAGCAGCAACAACAGTACCATATACTCCGCCATTGTTGTGTATGGTTGTTCGCGCTTGCCTTTAAAATCGACACGTACTGCACATGTCTAGATACCTAACACGTACTACGCACGAGCATGACGTCACCGTTTTCAAAGATTCCCTTATTGGGTGTTTACACGGAAACGATAACGGTGGCTTTTTCAAAAACTTGCACGTTGAAACCCATTTTCAAAAATATGCGTTTTCAGTCCCCAAAATGCCATTGTCGTGTACACGAACAGGCAAAACGCATAAAAAGTTTAAACGGCCCCTAAAACAGGGTCTGCAGCGTTTTCAAAAGTCGTTTTCGAGGGTGGAAAACGCAGGAGTAATGAAAACAATAGGCGTAACCATAGCAAAAGTTATGCGTTTTAAAACGAAAACACACTAGTGTAAATGGGGCCTTAGTAAAGTTCTTCAACAACGAGCTGCCTCTCTATATTTCAGAGAGGTCGAGTTTACACATAAACTTAAGCATGTTTTGAAGCATGATGTGAGTACATTGTGAAGTTTGCAGAGGAAGTGACAACGTAGTGCAGAAGACTATCACTTCTCAAGTGATCTTCACAACGTGCTTATATCTATGTCAAATGTATTCTCAACACTTTCATGAATGTGTTTACAACATTTAGAGCCGATCCTCCCTATACGCAAAATACGCAAGCTGCGTAGGGCCCACGAAACACCAGTTGAAAGCGCACTGAGCCGCAGAAGAGACACTGTTTCTCAAGTGCTTTCCGTGAGCGCAGTTCGAGACATAGTGAAGCACGGACAAATGTGTTTCATTCATTTGTTCATAACCACTCTGTAACAAAGTTCGTAGATCGGGAAGAAGAAGGCGGGAACCGGTGAACGTTCAAACAAAACTTTAATAATAAAATAAACACAAAATAGCGCGACAGCCCTTCACGGACGACTGCCGCGCACAAACAGAACCAAAACACAAAATAAAGTCCAGGCCTGGTCCTCTCTCGTCTAAGCCTACAGTATACTGTCCTGTGCATTTTATTTTATTCTTATTTTTTATCTTACTTTTTCCATACCTATATTTATATATAATTTTCTTGTGTTTGTATTCTTTAATAATTGCACTGTCCATGGAGTGGACCTGACTTACATTTCACTGCTGGTCATATATTCCCTATATAACCATGTATGTGACAAATAAAAAATCTTGAATCTTGAATCTTGAATCTTTATTCTTCCAGAGCTCCTCCGTGGGACTCGGAGTGGCGCAGGTGTCGCGCATTATTATTAACTCCACCGGCCTTGCTCCGTTCCCATGGCTCTCGGCCCCGCCCCACTCGTCACACACTCATAACCACTTTTTTTTTTTATACAAGTGGATAAGCAACGTAGACAGCATTCTGAATTGAGAGGAAATCTTTGTTAACTGCATACACTTCTTACTAATTCTTGGAGAACTTTTAGAAATATTACACGCAACTGATTCTTTAACATATAAACCAACTGTAAACGGCCACTAACAGAAGCCAGAGATGCTGAAGATGAACTCAAAGAGGAGAAAATACTGTAGCAGGCAGAGCAATCTCACTTCACCATGCGCAAAATATTGGAACAAAATCCTAAATAATGAATTGCAGGTGGGGGTTTATATAAATGTATCTCTGAGGGGAACTGACTCTCTTCAGAAAAGTATTTTCTTTTCATCTTACCTCCATACAATGCATATTAATGTGGTATTTAAAAGCACAGCGCTGCTTTGTTTACAGCAGTAACCAAGGAACCGCTTTATCGCTGCTGCTCCATAAGCGCCACCTGTTGTCAGAAAATGAATTTGCGCTCTCATTCAGCCCGTCTGCTGTTTCTGTTTCTTGCAGACATGTTTTATGTAGCATAATTTCACAAAGCTGAGGTCAGACCATTCTGTTTTTGCTTCAGATTTTGAAATTATACAGTCGAAGTTACATCAAAAACTGTTCATGTTACATGTAGCATGATTGTTTGGATCGTGATTAAAACGCAGTGGTTCCGCAATTGTTTCATGCATTCTGATTCATATAAAGGCACAGTCAGGGAAAACTCTGTGATAAACCGTGAAACCGTCAGAATCCTAAAAAAAAAAAGGTGAAACCGCCCAGCACTATTATGTAGTATATAGTGTATATATTAGTATGTTTCTTACATGCACCTATTGTTGTGTGACATTGATTCATCTGCTGGGGTCATATGGATTAATGTCATAATGACTGGATGTGCTTTTTGAGTGTCAACATTCTGGCACCTGTCACTTCATGATCACAGAGATGGATTATGTGTCTACAAATCTTCATTTGTGTTATAAGATCAAGAAAGAAAAAGCCATATACATCTGGGACGACATGAGGGTGAATAAATTTGAATAAAATAAAAAAAAAACATTTGGGTGGACTCTCCCTTTAGAATTATGTGAAACAATGCAGTGCTACAAAATTAGAGCAAGTAGTGTCGTAACAGGCCACCAATCATAAACTGCCTCAGTGTCTGCCTCATTGAATATCCATGAGCTTTGTACAGATGCTTGAGCTTTAACATGCTGTGTCTAGTTTCAGAAATAGGTAAAAACGTCAAACGGTGATGGCAAATCCCTCTCTGCATTTTCGTTCAAGTGTTTAGTCATTGTTTTGTATTACGTCTTACGATAACCAAAGCAAATACTGTATTTGTGACAATATCTCCACACATAGACAAGCAGTTATTAAAAGAGGTCGTGCTCTTGTTGTGTAATCTGCTTGTCCAGTCAATGTTATTAACCTCATGAATATGCAAATGAGAATGTTCATCCAGGGTTTACGGATGTACTGAGTGATAAGCCAAAATTAACCTGCAGGTTAACGATTTTTATGAGTGAAGGTTCACGCTTCTTTTGTTGTATGTTAATGAATGTTGTATGTTCTGTTGTATGTTAATGAATGCAGAATACTTACATTACCAGGGTTTGTGTCACTGCTACATTTTGAATTACTATACTATCTTACATGTGTGCTTGTATATTTGAGAGCTGTATTATTAATGATATTTTACAGAACGAGGGTGCAGTGTCAGTGCTTAAAGAGTGTGTAGCAATGAAACCACAGGACCCCATCCCACCTTTGCTTGCAGCAAAAGTGTGCATCAACCAGCTGCACTGGGTGAGAGAAACACAACAAGCAGCACATGTGCACAATATGCAGATTCATTCAGCAATAAATAAATAAAATAATAAATAAATAAAACAATATTTATATTTAGAGCAGTTACAATATAGAGCAGTTCCAGCCTCTAAAAGTACAAAAGTTTTTTTTTAATAAATTAATACTTTTATTCAACAAGCATGCGTTAAATTGATCCAAAGTGACATTAAATACATTTATACAAAATACTTATTTTAAATAAAGCTGTTCTTTTGAACTTTATATTTAACAAAAAACGCAAAAAAAAAAAAACTGTATCAGATTTTTCAAAAAAAAAATATTAAGCAGCACAACTGTTTTCAACATTGATAAGAGAAAAAATGTTTCTTGAGCATCAAATCAGCATATTAGACTGATTTCTGAAGGATCATGTGACACTGAAGACTGGAGTAATGATGCTGAAAATTCAGCTTTGCATCACAGGAATAAATTACTTTTTAAAATATATTCAAATAGAAAACAGGTATTTTAAATTGAATTAATGTTTCACAATATTACTGTTTTTACTGTATTTCTGATGAGTGTAAGAGACTTCTTTCAAAAACATTAAGAATCTCATTGACCCAAACTTTTGAACCATAGTGTGCAACATCCCAGCAAAAGGAATAAGTATGCTTTATTCTATGAATGATATAAGCAATATGCGTTTCAGGAAAATTCATTGGAAATATTCACTTTGGCATCCATAAATCCTAATCCCATAAATCCTATATAATCCTAATATATTTATATTAAAACTAGCTATGCTCATAGCATTATTAATTTAGAAGGAATTTTTGATCCAGATCAAACTAGAACTGTACGAGAAACATTAAATCTGTTTTTTCAGCCTTTTTATAATACTCAGTGTACAGTATACATCGCTCAATCCTATAAAAGATCTAGATTCATATCACTAATGACCTCTGTTTTACATTAGTAACATTGCTATACTAGTTATACTAATAATGCAATGTACTGTACAGTCACAACACTATCAATCAAATACACACTGCAGCACTGTTGACAGAGATTACGGCACATCTGTTGGAAGCGCAGCGCTGAATACAGACAGCACGCCATAAGAGGCTTATAGCACAATAGAGCCACAAAAACGTAATGCAAAGGCTTTAATGTCAGATAGCATGCCATCCCACAGTCACACTTCAGACCGGCCCTTTATCATCCCAGCATCAAAACAGGGCATGCGGGGATTTGTCCTCAAGCAGTTGTCCTTGATGCTGATTCATGTCAGCATGTCTGGCATTTCAATTCTAGAATATTATACAATATTTAGTCATGACTACATGATTAAATAAATAAAAAAATTGTTGCAATTTCAGATGATATGCTTGGGCATTTGACATGACCTTTTTTCTGTTTATACACTACCGGTCAGTTTTTTTGTTTTTGTTTTTTACGTTTCTTTTTTCTTGTGAAATATTAGTACAATTTAACTGTTTGTTATTTTAATATATTTATACATGTAATTTATACCTGTGATGGCAAAGCTGAGTCTTCAGTGTCACACGATCCTTTAGAAATCATTGAAATATGCCGGTATAGTGCTCAATTATCATCAGTAATTATTGCCGTCCAATTATTAAAAATGGTTCTTATTATTGTCAGTGTTGATAACAATTTTTGGAGCTTGATATTGTGGTGGAAACTGTTTGAGTATCTAAAAACATTTTTTGTAATGATTTTCTAACATTTTCTTAAGGATCATGTGACACTGAAGACAGGAGTAATGATGCTGAAAATTCAGCTTTGACATCTCAGGAATAAATTATATTTTAATATACAGTGGTGGCCAAAATTATTAGGATACTAGTATTTTCTCAATAAGTCAGTTACTCTCTTAAGTCAGTTATTTCTATCATTTGCTGTAGTGTGTCGGTAGGAAATATCAGTTTACATTTCCAAACATTTATTTTGCCATTAATAATCCAGTGAGATTTTAGTTTGCACAACAGCCAGTGCTCCACAGAGATCTGATCTGATCATCATCCAGTCTATCTGTTATGACATGAAGAAACAGAACAAACTGAGACAGACTAAATCCAGAAGAACTGGCAACGTCTCCAAGATGCTTCAAGAGACCTACCTGCAAAAACAGAATATTAAATAGAAATAGTGATTTAAATTGTAATAACTTTTCTCAATATTACTGTTTTTACTGCATTTTTGATCAAATAAATGCAACCTCTGTGAACACAGGAGAGACTTCTTTAAAAACATTACACAATCTTAATTATTGAAACTATTGACTGGTAGTGTACATGCAGTTTTTATGACCTTATAATAATCGAGCAACACATTGGAATCTAAAATCTTATTTTTTTACCATTGCATTTACATTTATTCTTTTAGCAGATGCTTTTATCCACTTTTTATTATTAATTATTAATAATATATTCATATAATTAATTTTATTTAGCTTAAGCTTTTGTTCTAAGTGAATGAATTGTTCTTTGTTGGGTTTAATCCCTTAACCTTTCAGTTTCCAGCTCAGATCTTTAACCTCTACACTACACCACCAGTATATCTCATTGTAAGTTGAGAAGCACTGATATAAATCATCCAAACATCTAATGCATGTGTAAATGTGTGTGTGTCAGCTGGAGGATGCAGTGTCCCTCTCAGCAGGTGTGGTTGCTTTAGGAGAGGGTGCTGGAGAGTTCCTTCCTCAAGCTCATCTGGCCATCGGACTGTGCCGTAGTCTGCAGGCCTCTGACGGTAAGCCCGGCCTGTATCCTTCTCTGAACCTAAAAATGATCCAGGCCCCCAGCTGTCCTCAGCTGCTCTGTGCTCCCTCATGTCTGCGGTGACTCACTCTTTAACTGTGTGTTTGCAGCTACGCTGAAAGCCGACCGCGATGAGTTCAACAGAAGAGCGCTGCAGTCACTACGGAAGTACGCTTGATGTTTACCTCTTATATTTCAGCATGTGTACTTAACACAGATTGTGTTAAGGAGGCTTCAGCCACCCACTTTGTGTGGGAATTGTTTCAGTTGACCCTTTGCTAAGTTTATACCATAACTTTTATTAATATTAGCATTGTTTTTTTTTCCCTCAAAACCACACCACCGTTTAAAAGTTTGGAGTCTGTAAGATTTTTTTAAAGGTTTTTGGAAGAAATATCTTGTATGTCCACCAATGCTGCATTTATTTGATTAAAAATACAGTAAAAACAATACAATTTTGAAATATTATTACAATTAAAAAAAAACTTTTCTATTTTAATATATTTTAAAATTTAATTTATTGTGGTGGAAAAGCTGAATTTTAAGCATCATTACTCCAGTCTTCAGTCACATGATCCTTCAGAAATCATTCTGATATGCTGATTGCAGCTCAAGAAACATTTATTATGATTATCAATGTTGAGCCGCTTATAATACATTTTTGATTATTCTTTGATTAATAGAAAGTTCAAAAGAACAGCATTTATTTAAAATAGAAATATGAAAACAATGAAATAGAATCAATGTAAAAGACTGCTGTTACTTTTTATCAATTGAATGCAGCCTTGCCGAGTAAAAGTATTAATTTCTTTAAAAAAAATCTGACCACAGACTTTTGCACAGTAGTGTATCTACAGTATATGCAGTTTTTTCAGTTAAAAACTAGTGCTGTCAACAGAAGAAAATAATCACAAATAATCTCATGATTATTGATCAGTATTTATAAAACAGACTGAAATTGGTGATACATAAATTTGGTGAATGTCCACGTTAAAAAAAAACAACTTTTTACAATAAGCATATTTATTAATGTTAACATCTTGAGTTCACTTTTTTTCTTATCATGGTTATGTAGTTAATGTGTTATGGAAACTTGATTCTGAATCCGAATCTTTTAATTTACACCAATGCTAATGTTTTCAAAATTTTTAATCACGTTTTTTAATCATGTTGCTATGCAGTTCCTAAACAAATTTCAGAGCCACAATTAATTGCAGCATCTAATCTTAGTAAGGAGTCAGTTGTGAGATGACTGGCTGATGTCAGACTGGTAATAAGGTGATGGAAACTTCACACAGATTCTTTTTTGTCTTCAGAGCACATGCACTGGACCCTGGGGACCCTCAGATCTCCTTCTACCTCTCTCTGCAGCTCGCTCTGGTTCGACAGGTTAGCACGCTAACACATCAATCTCGCTGACTAGATGCAGAATCGCGTCTGTTCTTCATATCTTCCAAGAAAAGACATTTACATTAATCTCTCTTCTTATTTTGCTTGACTGTGGATTTTTGTTGCTTTTGTTTACACATATGACTGTCAAGATCACATGATTGTGTGAATAGTTCTTTATCTCATCATATTCCTACCCACTGTGTGAGAGCTCTTGTGTTTTTGGTATAGGTGTCAGAAGCGATGGAGCCATTGCAGTCAGCTCTGAATATTCGTGGGGATGATCTGCACTCTCTACACCTGCTGACTCTACTGCTCAGTGCCCAGAAACACTGCCAACACGCCCTTGATACGCTTAAACTCGCCATTAACCAGCACCTGGACAACTTTAAGTATGTTTTATGTGTTTGTTCTACTTCAAATGTGATAGTTCCCCCTTAAATTAAAATTGTTTACTGAACCTCATGTCATACTAAGGTTACACTTGATAGTCCACTTTCTACTAATTATAAGTAACTTTGCAACTACATGTCAGCTAACTCTCATTAACATTTTAGCAGACTGTTAAGTTAGGGTTAGGGTTAGTAGAATAAGTTGACATGTACTTGCAAAGTCAGTAGATTATGTGTTGGGAGAGCATCAAAATAAATCAAAAATTAAGCAGACCGAATTCAATTAAATTCAATGTTATTCAATAATTCAATGTTAGCTTCAGTTCCTGTCTCCTGAAATGCCTTCATCCTGAACCTCATGTCATACTAAGGTTACACTTGATAGTCCACTTTCTACTAATTATAAGTAACTTTGCAACTACATGTCAGCTAACTCTCATTAACATTTTAGCAGACTGTTAAGTTAGGGTTAGGGTTAGTAGAATAAGTTGACATGTACTTGCAAAGTCAGTAGATTATGTGTTGGGAGAGCATCAAAATAAATCAAAAATTAAGCAGACCGAATTCAATTAAATTCAATGTTATTCAATAATTCAATGTTAGCTTCAGTTCCTGTCTCCTGAGATGCCTTCATCTGGCTGATTTTTTAAGAGAGAGGACAACAAAATCATCCTCACTGCTTGAAGACTCCATTTAGTACTATTTTGCAAATGTTTTCGCAACAGATTAGTTAATACGCATCGGACTCAGTGTGCAAGGTTTCTGTGCGTGACGAATTTTTAGGATGACGAATACGAAAAAACGCATACGAAAATTTCGGACTCAGTGTGCAATGACTTTAAGGCTGCGTTTACGCTAGTGCATTTTCGTTTTAAAACGCATAACTTTTGCTACAGTTACGCCTGTCGTTTACACTCCAGAGTTTTCGACCCTCGAAAACAGAGACTTTTGAAGATACTGAGGACCCCGTTTTAGTTTGAGAACTCCGGGGTTGAGGTTTCAGTGTAAACGGACCAAAACGGAGACTTTTGAAAACGATGGCGTGGCTGCCCACAGTCACTCTGCGTATCCTTGACGACCGTGTAACAATAACATCATGCTTGTTGTTGTACCTATAGATATGTATAGGTAGATTCCCAATTCGACCGCTATAAGCTCGTAGATGCATCCGCCATCTAAATAATAGGGAACTTACCTATAAATATAACTATGGTTGTACCTGCATGAATGGTCATGTGACATGCGTTTTAGGTTGTGTAGTGTAGACGGAGATCATGTAGACGAGGATGGTTTTTGTTTTAAAACGCCGTTTTAAAACGAAAACTCACTAGTGTAAACAGGGCCTACAGTTCATTTAAAGTGTTCTAAAGTTCCATGTTCTAAACTTCCAAAACGTTCTAAAAAGACATGCTCTAAAGTTCCAAAAAGTTGCTGGTAGCATTGACGTCTAGTTGTATTTTTTTCCCTATGGAAGTCAGTGCATGGCTACCGGCAACCTGAACATTCTTCAAAATATTTTCTTTTATGTTCTACACTAGAAAGAAACTTGTACAGGTTTGGAACAACTAAAGGGTGAGCCAATACAGATTGTTTTTTTTATTATTATTCTTGGACTATCCCTTAAACTGCATTAGAAAACAAAATATCTGTAACCTTTTAGTATAGGGACCAATTCTCACTATTAACTAGTTGCTTATTACATGCTTATTATTAACATATTGGCTGTTTATTAGTACTTATAAAGCACATATTCTATATCCCTAATCCTACCCAATATCTAAACTTAACAACTACCTTACTAACTATGAATAAGCAGCAAATTAGGAGTTTACTGAGGCAAAAGTCATAGCTAATGGTTTGTTAATAGCGAGAATTTGACCTTAAAATAAAGTGTGACCAAAATATCAAATCTAGTGGCATCTGAACGTGACTGCAGAATCTTTCTGAAGAACTGCGTCTTTTTTGTGTTTTTGATTTTAATCAGCTGTTGTTGCAGTTGTTTTAGATTTTAATGCATTGAGTTTCTAGCATTGCTGATCCGTGCTGGTCGCTGAGGGAATACAACATTATGGTAGGGGCGTAACATTTCCGTCTCACGCTTGAGGTATTCGGCCAATCACAATGCACTGGATAGCTGGCCAATCACAGCACACCTCGCTTTTTCAGACCGATGAGCTTTGTAAAAATCGACACGTTTCAAAAAGGCGGGGCATAGAGGAGAAACAATAATGTACAGTATGTGGAAAATAATGTGTTTTTTTAACTTTAAACCGCATAAACACATTTCATTACACCAAATACACAACATAATGTTATTTTTAGCAGCATCATATGACCCCTTTAATTCCCAACTGTATCTACTGTTTCATAGTTTTAAACCTAAATTACTTTTTTGTGAAATGTGCACAGTGCAAATTTTATTCAGAATATTTTCAGTTTTTACATCTCCATGTGGGGTCAGTGTTGCACTCGATACGAGAATGGAGAGAAAATAATTAATCAAATTCATAGCAGAGTAACACATAAGAGTGTAAAGACCCCCAGACTCTCACATGCAAACACACTGAATCTATTGTGTGTCACAATGGTTATATTGTCGCACGTCTCATTCCAAGAACCTCTGCCTTTGAAGAAAACAAATCATCACTTTATCAGTGGAAAAAGTGAACTCAGCTTTCTTGAAACTGTGTTTGTTGATGTATGGGAGGAGGCAGTGGTGAGCGTTGACTTTTTTAACCGGGTATGCTGAGTGATCACAGATGACAAATAAGAAACACCGTGGCAGGTGTCGATTTAAAAGTATGCACATTTCCTACCTTATTTGTAAATTAAATTAATCTCCTATCCTTCTATCGTTTCAGGTTTATCCATTGTTATTTGAATGCAAGAAAAATATAGCTGGTTTTCCAAGTAACAACCGCCAAATAACGTTTACAGGTAGTTAAGTTATGATACGTAATCAAGAGGGTGGGGAGATTCCCCCGCTCTATATGTCTCTCTGCATCAGCTAAATTATTTTTTTATTCACAGTGAATAGGAGTTAAAACTCCCACCCGTGTGACACTCCAATAACAGACCATGCAAAATACCTAAAAGTATTTAAAATATTGCAAAGTAACGTTGCAACCTTGCAAACAATAATAAAATCAGAGAAGGACTTCAAGCGACACGAGCATACACAAAACAATATGATGTTTGTTATTATTAAAATTTTATATAACCCACGTTTTTATAAAAAAAAAAAAAAAATTTATCGCTTAGGCAATAACATTGACAGTAACATATATATCTTCAGCATACTGTAATGTGGTGTTTGGGCCAGGGGCGTAGCCATCATTTCAGAAGTGACAGAAATGTCAAATACAATAATTTTATGTATGTATTGTTTATTTATTTATTTAAGGAATTCTTTTCTTATCTCTTACTTTGAATTTGCTATATGAAGTCAAATGCACTGCTGGACAATAATAAATCATTTGTAATCTATCATTTTTTCCTAATGGCAATTTTATGATTGTTTTATAAATAAAATGCTATAGTATTTAACTTTTCCTCTCCATCGGCGAATGATGATTCTGAAAGAAAACGTGCCCGATGTCTGTTTGCTATAGCAACGAACGCTACTTTCATGCATCTGATTATCAGATAAACGATCGCGCTCTTATTTCAAGGTTGTTGTTAATGCTGTGGTTATTTTAACAATTTCCTTCATACATTCGGTTCAACGACATTGTTAAAACACATTTATCATTCAATGGAACTGTGCGTATGCTTTAGACACTTACATTTTTGCTCTGTCCATGCAATAAATGTGCAGCCTTCGACTGCTCAGGGAATGTCGTCGGCATGACTGAGAGCCATTGAAAAACTACAGAAAAGTAAAACTACTTCACTTTAGCATTACTGACCACGAGTACTAAGGAGAGATCACACATCAGCTGCTCAAAAAATGTGTCGGTGAGACGAACGGAGCGCGAGCGCAATCCTGAGAAAGTCACTGCAGGCGGGAAATAGTGGAGCGCGTGAAGGAGAGATGCGAGGCACGAACACTGTTCAAGGTCTCCATTAATTCGTGCTTGTAGTAATTTAATGTGTATATATTTTGAAAGCATTGAATCGCTATAGAAATCGCATTCTTAGCGTTTCAAGATCGATGCATATGCATCGTCAGGGTTTGTAATCGATGCATCGAGAAAACGAGTGAATCGTTACACCCCTAGGTAATGACCATTTTGTCTGTACACCAATTTTAGCTTTAGTCCTCCTGTGGTAAATGGGTGTAACCCTACTAGGGTAAATTCACATGTATGTACTTCACCACCACACTACTGCTGTTCCAGAACAAGGGCCCGCCGCAGCAGGAGCATCTGCTAGTCTCTCTGCATCTCTTTCTCACTGGCGTGAATGCTCTGCTGCCCTGTTTACACACACGCTCTTAATAGCACACACCAACACACACACACCTTCACATTCATCTCGCTTCACCCCTCCACCCTCCAGCACGCACAGACGTCCACCCACTCGCTAAACCTTGCTAAAGAGAGGGACAGGTCAGGGGAAGAATGTCCCCAGACAGCTGCAGAATTGCTAGTTTGTGTTAGAAGCAGCTGAAGCATCAGCCACTGATGATGGAGAACTAGGGCTAGGGCTGAAAACTGCTATGTGTTAGCATTCATACCATCTCAATGGCAGTTGCTCGTCTGCACATTCATCTCAGGAAGTACGTGAATTAGATACATTTCCATGAAATCATGGGACACAAGTAGATTGAGCATTTTTCATGCAAGAACAACAAAACAGTAAACTATATAACATATCTTGTATATAACACACCATTTTTAAATTGCAAAATGTACTATTTGAGTTATTATACCTTTAATCAAAATATAATAACTCATTTCATTTCTAAAATGAATATTTTTCCTACTCTTTAGCTCCATTCTAGCCCTCAGGATTTTTTCGTTGATTTTTTTTTCTAGAGTACATAAGTGAAATGAGTTGATTATAACTTTGTCATCAGCAAAATCTTCTGGATGTTAGATATATTGCACAGCCATTATATGTTTAATGCAATATATGTTTTATATACACTACCATTTAGAAGATTGAGGTCAGTAAGATTAAATTTTTTAATAGTCATTTATGCTCACCAAGCCTGCATTTTTTTAATCAAAAGTACAGTAAAAGCAGTACAATTCTAAACTATGATTACAGTTTAAAGCAACTGTTGTATATTCTAATATATTTTAAAATGTAATTTATTCCTTTGATTACATAATTAGAAATTTCAGAAGAACAATGATTAAAAACACACACACACACACACACAACTATATAACATATCTTGTATATAACACACCATTTTTAAATTGCAAAATGTACTATTTGAGTTATTATACCTTTAATCAAAATATAATGACTAATTTCATTTCTAAAATGAATATTTTTCCTACTCTCTAGCTCCATTCTAGCCCTCAGGATTTTTTCCTTGATTTTTTTTTCTAGAGTACATAAGTGAAATGAGTTGATTATAACTTTGTCATCAGCAAAATCAAGATTGCGGTCAGTAAGATTACATTTTTTAATAGTCATTTATGCTCATCAAAGCTGCATTTTTTTTTATCAAAAGTACAGTAAAAGCAGTACAATTCTAGCTATTGCTACAAATATACCCCAGCGACTTAAGACTGGTTTTGTGGTCCAGGGTCATATATATACACACACACACATATATATATATATATATATATATACCGTCACAGGATAGTTATAGTGTTATTTTAGTATTATTAATATACTTTTATAGTATTTATTATTATTTTGAATGATTCTACTTTTAATTTTAGTAATTTTTTCTATGTGCTTTTGACATTTTTATCAGTTTTTTTAAATACTTGTGGATTTAGATTTAATTTATTTTTATTTTATTTGAGTAATAAAGTAAGCTGTTTTTTTGGTGCATGTAGCACTGTAGTTTATTAACTGTTAATGTCTTTGTATGTTTTAGTCTTCTCTTTACCAAAGTGAAGCTGGAGGAGGTTTTGTTCGGACCCGCTGCAGCATTACAGACCTGTGCAGAAATGCTGCAGCTGTGGCAGAGTCGCTATGATTTAACCCGCCTCAGGTAACGTGCTGCATGTAACGTGTGAGAGTGAGTCAGTGTTGTATGCTGTGATTTCATGCATTCTGCTCTCTGTTCCAGTGAGGAGGATGACACTAGCAGCATACCTCCTGATCCCGGGCCGCTGAGCAAGAAACCCAGCGGCCTCCATCTCACGCTCCCAGACTTCCAGGAGACAGAGACCGGTGTGTATCACGAGTGTGTGTGATTGTGTGTGTGTTTATGTGACTGAGACGTGTGTCATATTGTGTCAGGGTCTCAGAGCGCCCCGTCTCTAGCTGTGTCCCGTCTGGAGCAGGCCATGTCAGAGGTGTCGGCCATCAGCTCCGCCCACAGGCACGGCCCCGCCTACATTTGGGCCACTCTGGAACGCATCTGGCTGCAAGCAGGTATGGCTTAACTTCTTTTTGAATATATTATTAAAAGCTATTATTTCTGGAACTTTTATTAACATTAATCAGGATTAAATTACTGGTTATTAAATATTTGTGTAATATTTTAGAAAGGCATAAATAGCCGTTTGGCTGTTCACTGACATTACTTTCCTGTAATCGTACAAAAACGTTTTTTTACTTGTTGACCTTAATACATTTGGGAAGTCCTTGACGTACTATGACAGTATTTGGATGTTAGTTTTGCGTTATTTATATGCTGCTCTGCATGAAATGTGTTTCCCAGGGATCTTATACTGGGTGTTTGTGCCCTCTTGTTCCCATTCCCAGCATTCCTCTGGCATAGGTTCATTTCCTGTCTAAAATGGGACAGGATCCTGATTCTGTACAAATGAGTGAATGTGAGAGCACAGGCAGAGCGGCCCATTGACATAAAGAATGGGTGTGATGTCATACTGATAGTTTAAAATAGTAAGGGCCCACTGAACGCAGTCCATCATGCAGCAAACATTTCATTTTTTACATCAGCTGTCATTTGTAATGTGTGAGTGTTGTTATGCGCATTGTGTCATAAATAATATTACATTAAATATTATAATAAATCATTTTAATAATAGTAATAATATTAAATATTTTAATATGTATTATGCATTTATTATGTAATTAAAATGTGAAATTAATATTTTTTATTAAAATTAAATTTTTAATTTCATTGTTGTCATAACATTCAGCATATGCAGTCTTTGAAGAATCAACACAACACAAAACCGTACAGCTATACATGGTTAAATACATGCAATAAAGGCAGCAAAGAATTATTGGAAAGATGACCAGTATGCAAATATTACAATAACGCCTTCATTGCCAGCTACATTTTGAATGTTAAACATTGCAACAAAATCAGAGGGAAATTTGCAGCTTTCACCTTGAATATCCCAAAAGTATGAAATGTGTTAATATACATTTGCGAAATTTTACAGGCAAGAAAGGTCCATTATCTATTGTCAGTAGTGTAGCAATGTCACTTTCAAACCAGTATTATTTTAGTATTGCTGATATACTATTATTATTATTTAATAATATTTTGAATTAGCTTTTATTTTTATTTTTTTTATGTTTAGCCTATATTTTCAGTTTTCATTTTAATTTTAGTTTAAGCTTCAGTGATTTTGTTGTGTTTTTGTAATTTTTAAATGTTGTTTTTGTTTTCTATTTATTTATTTATTTTTTCAATTTTGGTAATTTAAGTACTTAAGCATATTTACTTGAGCTAGTTGCCAAGGCAGCAAAAAATAAACAAAAAAATAAAAACATTCCTATTCCTATTACCTACAAAACAAAGTTTGAATAGAGTCTGTATGTTAAGCAGTTCAGTCTGAATTAATTTAGATAAGTGTGAAGAAAAATTTCAATACATTGCTGTCCTAAAAACACCATAATGAACATGTAAGCTGTTTCCAAATGTTTGTAAACCCTTATTTCTTGGTGTAGTTGCTGCCCAAATGGTCCTACCAGGGATTCTGTGTAAACAAACACAAACACACAGCAGACAGCAGTTGATATGAACACAGTTTATTTGCCGTGGTGAGTCCTAAATGCCAGAGTAGAGCTGCAGATGTTTACACAGCGCTCCGTACATGGCCTTATTTAGACATGACCATGAATATCCCTCTATGAGCATGTGTGTGAGATTTTGGGTGGAGGGGGAGGTCAGCATGTATCTGCAATCGCAAATGTTGCCAAAGCTGCATTTGAAATCATCTGGACAGAACAAAATGCTACATGTGTGATATGATGGAGCATGTTGGTATTCATTGCTTACTCTGAGTGAGTATTAATGCTGGGGCAGCAGATACGTCTTTGTGAGAGTTTATATTCCAGATGGCTGTGTCACGGCCGTGAAATCAGAGACGTTTCATAAAGATGAATCATCAGGCACTCGATGATATCAATAAGAGAATCTCACGATATGACAAAGCAGTTGCTGAAAAAGAAGAGTTGTAACTGCAATACTATGATTTTTAGTGCAATTATGTATCTCATAATGTTGTTTTATGTTTTGTGATGTGGTGCCGAGCAGGAGAGTTGTTCATGGCTGACGGGCGGATGAAGGAAGCTCAGTTCTGTGTGCAGGAGGCAGGAACTCTCTTCCCCGCCTCACACTCAGTGCTGCTGCTCAAGGGCCGCGTGGCCGAGCTCAGGGGCAATGACACGGAGGCCAAGAGCCTGTATGATGAAGCTCTCGCCATCAACCCCAGAGGACACCACATACTGCTGCACCTGGTGAGTGACACACGCTGTACATCACACACACTCACACACAC